CTTTAGCCTGCTTTCTTAGTGTGCGTTACCTCAGGACGTTTAGCTGTTTCTTCATGGTCTGTTTACCTCTCATGTCTGGGTCACGGCTGTGACTTGTTCTCTGGAAGAGTGCCTGGTGTGAAGTCTGTGTTCAGCGTTTGGGGAGTAAAGGAATAGTTGAATCCTAGTTCATATGTGCTTAATATGTACTTGCTTTTCTCCAGACCAGGATTCGGAAAGTGGGTTTGCTGAGTGTGAGTGTGTTTTAAATATTGCCAGCTTGCTTCAGTGGATTGCAGTCTTTTACACGTGTGTGAAACTGTTGGATGGAAATTGGCAGGGCTTCGGTTTAATCTCGATTGCAAGTTAAGGAGAACATATTGTCAGTATGTAGTAACCATCTGCATTTCCTCTTTTTTGGCTTCTCTGTACACAATTCTTTGCCCAGTTTTCTGTTACTTAATTTTTAAATTTTTAGGAGCTTTTTGAATATTTTGTTACATTTTTCCCTGAATATTGTTTTCCTTTTTATATTTTAATTGTTTAATCACAGATATGTTAAGATTCAAAATTAATGTGGAAGAATAAATCTTTAAAGATTGATAGGGAAATTTTGAAAAGTAGATAGTGAGAGTCTTACCAGCTAATGAAAGCTGTAAGTTCTTAGGCATTAGTATACATAAAAATCACATGGATGCCATTTAAAAGTGAGCCTGCCACTTGTGTTTTCAATTTATAGGTATGGGGAAGTGAGGGAAGGGGTTAAGACATGTCTGAGGGATCATCATTTTAAAGATTCTCTAGTATAATTCTGATGCGACTGGTTCACGGGTCACAGTTGAGAAACACTGCTACAGATCTGCTACATTTGGAATAGTGTGGTATTAGCACAGCAGACGACTAATAGATCCAAGAAACTAATAGCATCCAGAAAACAGATCCAAATGTGAATGAGACCTTATTGAAGGTGACATTTTGGTTGAGAAAAGAGAGGCTTATTTAATAAATGGTTTCAGGAAGTTCCTTTGAAAGATGAGCTTACCCTACGTAGATAAATAAACTCCATGCTGCTTAAAGATCTAAATGTAGAAAATATGCAAAGCCTATGAACAATGTAGGTGACCATTAGTTTAGCTTGGGATAGAGGAGGCCTTCTTCATGGTGGGAATCTAGAAGCTGTGAGGGAAAAGATTAGCAGATTTCATTGTCTGACTTTACTTTCTGAAAGGTAATACTCTTCTGAGGTGTGACAATGTCGTAAAGTACCTTTTCTTTTTCTGTCTTTTAATCATCGTGCTAAGACTACTCTTATTTATTTATTTATTTACTTATTTATTTAATTATTTTTATTCCTAACCCAAAATATGTTTACTGATTTGAGAGAGAGAGACATCAGTTGGTTGTCTTGTGTACACGCCCTTACTGGGGATTGGACTGCAACCTCCTTAGGTATGTGCCTTGACCAGGAGTCAAACCCACAGCCTTTTGGTGTACGAATCTATCTATGCTCCAGCTGACTGAACCACCTAGTCAGGGCCCCTATAACGTTTTTCTGCCCTTGAACTTGATCTTGGAGGTGTCCTAAAGGTCGTCACTGGGCACTCTCATTTTCTATCTCATTGTGACTCCAATATGTGTACTTCTAACTCTGGCCCTTTTTTTAGATTTCAAACTTCATGTATTTGAATGACTCACTGGCATCTTAAACCCATTATTTTTTTAATATATATATTTTTAACTTAATTATTGTTCAAGTACAGTTTTCTGTCTTTTACTCCCATCCCAGCCCACCCCCCACAGTGCTCCCAACCTCCTTCCCATTTCCACCCCCCTTAGTTGTTGGCCATGTGTCCTTTATATTAGCTCCTGTTAAACCCACTATTTTCAAGAGTTATATTCATCTCCTTTCTACCAACCATCCAACCACTGACCAAATGGTCTGTCTTGGTTGAAGGCACCACAATATTTTCGTGTCTTTTACTGCCACTGCGGTCATTTGTGACTGGACTCCATCCAGGACTCAGGTACATACAGAAGGCCCTGACTGTATTACGCAGGAAGATTCCAGTCGTTGGGAAGGGCTGGAGCAACAGCTGCTGCTGGTGCCCCACTCTCCGCCACCAGGCCTTGGGGAGTCCCAACTGCTGGCTTTACGCCTCACCACTCCAGCCTCCTCACTGATCTAGGAGTAAAAGGGTATTTCGATTTTTTAATCGAATTTCCTTGCCTTCAGTTCCTGCTGCTTTCGGATTAGTTTTCCTCTGTATACACTTATTTGTAAAACTATGCATCTGTGTACATTAGAATACAAATTAAGTTCCTTCCCCAGCCTCAAAGCCACAGCAATTGGACCTCTTCAGTTTGGGGCCTTACACACCTGCCCTCACTCATCTCCTCACCCCCACCCTGCTCTGCTGGGTGGCTGAGGACTTCTGAGCCCCTCCTGCATCTGGTCTGGGTCAGATGTGTGGTGCCATTTATTTAAAATCTCTGTTCTTCTCTCCTCTTCCCCCTCGGCCTTGAAGATCCTAAGTTGCTATTTGGTCTGAGAAGACTCAGAACATTGTGGAACTAGCCTCTGCCTTTTCACTATACGTTCCTCAAGTGCTGTTTACTCTCAGTGATCAGTACCTAGGAGTTAATTTTTTTGTGTGGTATAGGAAAGGGGCCTGTTCTTGTTGTTTTCCATCTGGATATGCAGTTGTTCCATACCATCTGTTGGAAATGCGAAGACCGTTCTTTCACTGTTGAGTTCTCCTGTCACTCCGCTGCAGGCCGGTGGTCCGCAGTGCGAGGGTTTGCTTCCGGGCCCTCAGCTCGGTGGCGCTGGTCTGCCCGGTGCTGTCTGTTCTTTCGCCCGGGCCGGGCGGTCCCCGTGGCTGCTGCTTCGTAGTGAGTTTGGAATTCAGCTTCGTTGTTTCTCAAGATGAAATTTTGTCCTGGCTACTTGGAATTGTCATATGAATTTTAGGATTAGCTTACAGATTTCTGTACACAGGCCAGCAAAATTGTGATAGGAGTTGTGTTGAATTTGTATATCAATTTGGGGAATGTTGACATTTTAACAATATCGTTTTGTAAGCCATAAACAGAATGCTTTTCTGTTTATTTACATCTTAGTATCTTTAAACAATTTTCTCTGGTTTTCACAGTACAAATTTTGTACTTATTATAGCTAATCTTAAGTGTGGTAAATATTCTTAATATTCATCGCTAGTACATAGAAATACAATATATTTTTGTATGTTCACCTTACAGTCTGCAGCCTTTGTTGAAATCTTTGTTATATTAGTTTTTTAGTGGGTTACTTAGGATTTTCTTTCTTTGTTTTTTTTTAGGGACATTTTAAAACCTTTTTTAGTATGAAGAAAATTAACCATATAGAAAAGTAGAGAGAATAATATGAATCTCCACATACTTGCTCCTGAGGTTTAACAATTATTAATATTTTGCCATATTTGATTTACATATTTTAACTGAAGTGCCGTGATATCGGCACTTCATGATGTTTTCCCCTGAAGTAGTTCAATGTGCATCTCTACTCTGCCACCTTGACTGGAGGGCCCCGGGGCTTTCTGTATGTACCACACCATCTGTAGGTAAAGATACATATTTGTGAGACGTCCTTCTCCGGGGTCATCAAGGTGCATCTGTTCTTGCAGCTCCGACTTCCTGGAGGTGGCGCAGCCCTTTGTTTTCATTGTGCCCTTTTCCTCTGCAGAAACCTTCAGTGGCTCCCCATGCCCTTCATGGCAGAAACCCAGGCTCCCTGGACTCATCCTGCAGGGCACTGCTCAGCACACTGTCAGAACACAGCTTGGTGGTGAACAGAGCCCTGGGGTCGGTCGAGAGTCTTGGCTTCTCACCAGCTGTACACGGGCGGATTTGCAGCTGTTTTTATCTTACGAAACTGCAGAGCTGGACTTTTAATTTTTCAAGCATTATTTTCTTTAGTTCTTTGAACATATTATAGTAGCCGTTCTGATGTTTTGTCTGTTAAATTTGACCTTTGGGACCTCTGAAAGATGATTTCTGTTGCCTTTTCTCCCTATGTATATATGGTCAAACATTCCTGTATTTGCCTGCCTTGTAATTTTTTGGTTTAAGCTGGATATTCAGATGTTTTATAGTAATATGGAATTCTGATTCTGAATTCTGATTCTTTCCTCCCCTTTTCCACAGCCTCTTGTCTTGCTGGTGTTTGCTTGCTTATTTGTTTAGTAGTTGTTGGCTGGCCCGTTGCGGTGAAGTTTATCTGTTCAGCAGTGTGCATCCTCTGTTGCTCTGCAGAGGGCACAGCCCACTCTGCGTGCTGCGCACAGTGGATTTGTCTGCCTCTACCAATGACTGTGTAGGTTTGTTTCATGAGGGAAAGGACTTAGATTTTTGTTCACTGTTAAATTCCTTGTGCTTCCAGTTGTAGCTAACACATAGTAGACTCTCAGAAAATCTGATGAATGCCGTGTAAGATGACCAAAGTTTACTGCCTTCTTGCTTAAATTGGAGAATACCTAGAACCACTACGGGAAGTGAATTTCATGTTTCCTTACTCCAGTTGGCTTGTTGCTGCCTAGAGTGAGGGAGTGGGGGCTCACTGGGAAGGAACACAGCGATGAGCAGGAGCTGCTCTGGGCCACGGGAGAGGAGAGCTTGGTGGGTACGCCAAGTGCGGCCATCCTTAACGTAAAGAGACCGAAGAACGAGAAGTGGGTACATTTTTGGTCTCCATTCTTTTGTAGGTCTTCCGGCTTGTTCCCTCCTCACCCCTGGGAAGTGTTTGTGGATCCTTGGGGTTAGTTTGGAAAAGCTGCCCGTCACAGAATGATGTGGAAACATTCTGTGGCAACTCCATTATTAATTCTTAGAAACGCCAGGCACGACAGACTGCCCTGGGGCCGGTGTGCCAGCTGCTGCTTCATGGGGAAAAAGAGACTTCATTTGCCTACTTAATATGAAGAGTCTTTCTTTAAAATAATTTAAAAATGGTTTTGAACTAATGTCTTTCCTTCTTTTCCTTCTAGATTCTTATGGAAATCTGTTAATCCTACTTTTTGAGCACTTATGAATAACTACATATCTTCAGCACCATCTACCATGAAGCTAAAACAGACCATCAACCCCATTCTTTTATATTTCATACATTTTATAATATTACTTTATACTATTATAACATACATTCCATGTTATTTTTTGTCTGAGTCAAGACAAGAAAAATCAAACCAAATTAAAGCAAAGCCTGTAAATTCGAAACCCGGATCTGCATACAGATCTGTTAACAGTTTGAATGGCTTGGCCTCAGTATTACACCCTGGATGTGATACACTAGATAAAGTTTTTATGTATGCAAAAAACAAATTTAAGGACAAAAGACTCTTGGGAACCCGTGAAGTTTTAAATGAGGAAGATGAAGTACAACCAAATGGAAAAATTTTTAAAAAGGTAAGGTGATGTTTCATTGTCTTTGAATTGTTTTTATAAAATGTACTTTTAGAAGTGACAGCAAGGGACAGGCCTGGCCTGCTTCTGCTGGACTTGGATGATGTGGCAGGAGAAACAGGGTGGGAAGGGATAGACTGTGTTCTTACCTCTTTTGTTCTTTCCAGCACTGAATTGTCCTGAATTTTCACAAAGACACTGAGCATACCCCCTGGTGTGGGGCACTTCAGAATCTGCATGTCTGGCAGGGCTTGGACGAGAACGTCTAGGGCAGTTTGGGGTATAACACCCAGAACTTCCGGTAGTTCCAAAAGCACCCGTGTGTGCTTGAGACTTGAGATCTCTCTGGCTTTTAGGGTGGGTGGGAACCTCTGTTTCTGATTGTAATGCAGCCTCCGTTGGAACTTACAGCGTCTTGGTTCCTTGGTTGTGGCAGTTGCGTGGGTTTTCAGAATGTCTTTTCACAAACACGAAGAACCTGCCCTTGTTGGTTGAAGTCGGGTCAGACATCCTGCAGGGCAGCGCGGCACAGCGGGTGGGAGCCAGACTCTGGGCCAGACTGCATATGGATTTGCACCTTGGCCGGTTTACTTACTAGCTGTGTGACATAGTTAAAAATTTGCCTCAATTTTTTTTACTTGTAAGGTGGGGATAATGATCATTGCTGATGTTCATTAGCACTTCTTCTAGCCAGGCTGTTGTAAGAGCTTTGCATATATCAACTTCGTTAAGACTCACAATAGCTGAATGAGTTAGTGGTACTGTCCTTACTTTATAGGCGACCACAGGGAGGCACAGTCAGGTCGGGGAACCTACCCAAGGACATCACAGTTGCAGGTGGCGAAGCTGGAGGTGGAACCCAGGCTGTCTCCCTCCATCCCCTTTAAACTAATCCCCACTCTCACAGTGGTGTGGAGAGGATTAAGTGAATGTGACACACATGCACACACACAGTGTGCTTATGACAGTTTGTGGTGTCTAGTATAAAGAAAGGCTCTAGTGTTTATTACTACTATACCTGGGCTTTGGAAAAACTATGAGTGGATACAGACTAACAATGGGGTGCTGCAGCACTGTGAAGGGTAAGTATACAAATGGCACGAAAATGCCGTTTTCGAACTTGGATATGTGACTTTGTTATAAGTTGTTCTTGAAGTCCCTGTAGGTAAAAACTGAAGATAAAATTATTTTAGAGGCAGTAAGGTGATCTGTAGTTGGTTGATGATTTGATCAGGTTATAGGTTCGATGCTGTTTGGCCAAGTTACCTTGTACCCCTTTTTCCAGAACTACATCCTGACTCGAGCTGCTTTTTCTTTTAACTCAGTCATGAAGGAGCTGTCGAGTCTTGGAGGAAAGTCCAAGTAATCACACTAGGGAGTAAAATACTCAGAGTTCTTCCTGTTACTGCAGGACTAAGGGGATGTTGTTTAACCTAATTCATGGTCCTTTAAATTTGGCACTTATCATATGAATTCCATCAAGCAAGTTAGTGTCATTAACTCCTAGAAATTGCAAACGTTGCTTTAACTCTAGACAGGAGTCTGTGAATATTCCTCAGCTTGAAACAGAGCGGTCCTTTCTCTTCTGCTGCAGCAGCCCTGGTTCATGCTCATTCTTTGGATGCTGTCAGTTCCCCTCCCAGGCTCAGAAGTGGTTTGGGTAATTTTGTGGTTAATCCACTTTTAAGGTGTATTCCCTGTTTCTTTTACTGACTTAATTTTGACTCACTTAAATGAATTTTTTCTACTAAATTAACCCAAGATCTAGCTGGAGTTTATAGCACATTTCTAGAAATTGAAGTCATGTGGTTAAACATGCTTGATTATTCTGTAGCCTATAGGTTATAATTTGCAAAATGTATTTTATCATAATGGTGTCTGGTTTTTGTCATATTTAGTTGCCACTTTTTATGGTATATCAGCCTTGATTCTGTCTCTGAGAGATCTGGAAGTTATAAATGCTATTTGAGTTCAAAGATTGGGTTCTTTTATTTTTAATCTAAGCACATTATAACAGAAGTCATATTAAGTAGGAAGCTTATTCCACACATTATAGGCTTGTATGAAGCTAGTACCATTTTTTTAGTCATCAGTCAATACTTCAATACTCAACAAACTATTTTCCAAATTTATAAAAAGAAAAATATGGTGAGTATGAAATTTCTTTGTAGTTCAGGTATCAGTATCATTAGGACAAAATAAAATCCCAGTACTCTCTCAGTTGCTTGTAAATGTAGACAGAGAGCACACCGGACACAGAGGAGTCCTACCCCACGTGGGTTTTGTTTACGCCTGCGCGTGTGTGCATGCAGCGTGTGCGGCTCCTTCCGCCTGCTCCCAGCCCGGTGCTTTTGTAGTCATTGTTTATTCGGTGAAAAAGGATTTGAACTCAAGTACAAGAGTTAAAAGGTAAGGAAAACTTCCTAGTCAGCAATGTTTTCTTTCTGTATCACATTACTCTCAGGTCTGCCTACCTCCTGTTGACCTTTGCCATCAGGCTCAGAAGTCGATATAAACGGATGCAGAAAACATCACCATACTATACGAAAACATACTATATTTTCCTTGTTTGAAATTAGGCTCACGAGACAAGATCAGGCTGGTTCAGGGTTATGTGGCTATAGATACGCATCATTAGAAAGTGAATTAACTTTTAGGGTTGGAGTGTACAAAATGAGGCAGGTATTTTCTGTTAGACTTCCTCAGTGAGAAAGGGTGCAGTCACCAGGCCACTGAGGCTGGCGTCCGTTGGTCTGTGTGGCAGCCGTGGGCAGGTCTGCAGACTGGACCATGGTGTGTGTCCCCACTGGGTGTTAAACAGCTAGGCTTTTGTGTCCCTCTTGGTTTCGTATTTGCACCCGTGGTGTTGCAGCAGTAATGGCCTCTGCTCCAATAGGCTGACAGAGAGGGGACCATTCACAGCTGATGTGAGAGAGGGGTCGCTTAGGTGGTGTGGCTTCTGCCCGGGGTGCTTGCCAATGTGGAGCCCAGATGTATTTTTGACAAAGTGTCTTCATTTCATAGTTTCCATATTTGAAGACAGTCCTTAATTGGGAAAGAAAGCTAATGATGTAGCAATATCTCAGAGTTTCCACCCAGTTTTGAGGGGCTGAGCTTTGGGAATTAACCCTAGAATGTATCTGATATGGTTGAAGCGAAGTTACTCACACCTTTATTTCCAATTAATAACTCTGAAGCTTTCTGTCCATCTTATTTTACAAGTCTATTTTGAGCTACCAAGGGAAGGAAAGCGGAAGGAAAAAGGCAGTGTGAGGATTCTTGTCTTTCCCATCTGTCTCCAGGGGGCACAAATAAAAAGATAGAAGGCAGAGAAGCAGCAGCTGCAGCGTTTGTTTGAGGCTCAGCAAGCTTTTTCAGGTCTATTGTCACATTATTTTGAGAGTCATGTGGCTTTGTGAGACAGTGGCAGAGTTAAGCACCTGGACTGTGCGTCAGTACCTCCTGATTGCAGCCTCTCCAGCGGCAATCTCACTGTCCAGCATCTGCTGAAATGAAGAGCAGGGGAGCTGTCGGCTCCCAGAGCGGCTCTAAAGTGCCTGTGCCCGAAATAGAACAGAATGGCAGAGAATAAACTAACTTTACAGCGGAACTGAAAAGAGCACAAGGCTGGTTCAGACATTGTGTTCTAGCTACCAGCAACACCGTAAATTTTTTTCTTATATTTTATACACATTAGATAGGAGAAAAAATAGAACCAGTTATGTAATGAGTGCCTGAAAAGAGATTTTACCTGACATTCCTTCTAAATTGATCCAAAAAGATAACAGAAATCTTTAATTCTTTGCTTTCTTTTCTCCTCTTACATGTGTGCTTTTGTGTCATTTCTTACTGCAGCGTCACATTTCTTTCCCTGTTTGCATGTGTTTACAGTGTTCATGGTCTGACTTACTAGGACACCGACATCATAATGAGCATATATGGTGGTTGGTCTCTTTGCTGGGGTTTGTGCGGTTATTACATTCCTCTCCCCTTGTTCTCCCCAACCAGAACTGTGGGTTTGCCTTTCCCTCCTTGTTCCTCTCTGTCCGCTCCCTTTGTTAGAGGCTCCATTCGCACCCAGTGGCTCAAATCAGATAGTCAGGAGTCTGTTTTTTTCCCCCTTACAGCCACCCCTCCCCCCCTTTTAAAACAGGTCTCGTGTTTCCACTCTTGCCCCTATTCCAGCCTACACACACCAAGCAGCTGAAGCACTCTGTCACCGCCAGGCCACCGTGTCCCCCCCATCCCCCCACTGACATCCCAGCTCCTTTCCCTAGTGCAGGTGGAGCAGAGTGATTTAGTCGTTAGTTCCTGGAATGAGTCTGCCCGTGTCGTATTCTTAGTATGTCACTTGTAATAGCTGTGTGCTTTCAAGAGCTTACAGGTTTTCTGTGCCGTAGTATTCTTGTATGTAAAACAGGCACAGTAATAGTGGCTGTCTCCTAGAGTCACCGTGAGAGTTGAGGAAGCTAATTCTTGCAGCACACGGAACACAGCAAACGCTCCTGCAGGCTACCTGCCTTCATCATCACCACCACCACCACCACCACCATCACGACAATTACCAACCATCCAGATTTCTTGAATATTTGCACTTTCTGTGCCTACCTTGTAATAATTTCATTATAATCTTTATTTGCAGAGAGAAAGGTTATATGAAGCCAGCTGTGTTTTGCTAAAGAAGGCAGAGAACTGTATAATGTTGAACTATTTCTCAGGTTAGGCTCTCAGAACTTGATCTTAATAGACTGTCTCATTCTTCAGAGTCCTAAATTGTGCAGTGTGTGTGCTTTTATAAAATGTTCTATATGTTATCTTAATTTATTTTTATAGTTTTCTTTTGAGATAACAGACTCCTGATCAGTGTTATCAGATGTGTACTTTCACATGCTCTTGAACAAAGTAAATAAGTTTTTGTGTCCCAGGCAGTGAGAGTCTGAGTGCGAACATCGGTGTCACACATCTGTGTGTCACACCTGTCATGGAGTAAAAATCCAGCCAGTTAAATGTGAGAGAGGAAAGTGGCCACAGGGACCGTCCCAGACCGGCCCTTACGTTTACAGACAAGGAAACCACTCAGAGACTCCGCCCCCAGCATGTGTTTCCCTGACTCTCAGGGAAATCCAGCGTACTGATGTCTCACGTGAGTCATGGGTGGAATATTCGAGAAGTCGGAGGTGAAGGAAGTGTGTGTTTGAGTGGTGTCAGAACAAAAGTAGCTAAATGATCAGGTGGATATGGCTTGTTTTTGAAGCATTTTTTTAAAAATGCGGCTGCTGAAGGAGAGAGCAGTGGAAGACTCCCTCCAGGCTCGGAGTGAACTGAAGTCGTGTTTGACTGTACCACCCGTTCCACACTCTCAGCAGATAACCGCCAAGCGCCTGCTGTGTGCCAGGTACTCCTGTGGGCACCGGGGATGCTGGTGAACCAGACACACAGGCTGTTCCTCGTGCGTCTTATTTGTATGGGAGGAAGAGCGCGCGTTTATAGATTTACCGAGTGCCTGTGAACAAATGGGATGTAGCCTCTCCGGGTAGGCCAGGGAGGGCTGTGTGGAGGCCTGAAAGACGGGGAGGGTCCAGGCAACGACCCTGGTGTGCAGTGGGACAGGGTGGTGCCGTGGCTCTAAGGCAGGGGTGGGCCCAGGTGGCTGTGGCCTTGGTGGGCAGAGTCCAGGAGGCACTCAGACGTGGGGAGAGTGGGCCCGCTCCAGTTCTGTGCCCTGGGTGCCTTTCTTGCCTGCTCCTAGTCTTGCCCTGGCCCGTGCAATTTGAAGGACAGAAAGGACAAAGTTGAATTCACAGGGAGTGAGGCAGGGCAGAGGGTTTGAGATGATGGGCACAGGGACACCTGCAGCACTGGGTCCCCCAGGGCCTTGCGGGCCAGGGCGAGGTTTGTGGGCTCCGTGCTGATGGACCGAGGAAGCACCACAGGGTATTCAGCAGAGCGGTAAGTTCATGTGTATATGTTTTTAAAGAAACCACTTACAGATTTAGTGAGAATGGGTTGTCGGGGAATAAGACTGAAAGCAGGTTGGCCAGTCACATTCATTAGTTCAGTGGAGAGATGGCCTAGGGTGGCCAGGACCGGAGATGGAAATCTGGGATACTCTTCAAGGCACAGTCCTTGTGAATTTGTCTTTTGTCAGGGAAACCTCCGCCGTTGTAACACCGGAGGGACTCTGGGAAGAGCGTGGGTACTGATGTGCGTAAGTTACTGAACTTGATGGTAGGAAGTTTAGGGACTTTCTGTTTAATTTCTAATTTCCCGGTGAAGTGTGAAACATCATCATCTGAAAGTGGAGAAGGGAGGGGGAGGGTACAGCATATTTGAGGAGAGAGCAGGTTCCAAAATTGCATTTCAGAGTGAGAAAGTGAATATGCCAGGAAGTGTGGTCTGTGATTCCGGCTTTGAGGAGGTTGGTGTTCTTCTGCAGTGCTCAGGGGTACAGGGCAGGGCTCACCATAGGGACAAAATTAGGGTTAGAAACCTTTACAGCACAAGTCAGAAAATGACGGGAGTCCTCTAACTGTACTATGTATGGGAAAGATCACTACTAGAAGATTCGGTGTTTTAAGGAATTGAAGTCAGATTTTGATGATACTTAAGTTAAACTCGTGATTTGATTTCTTAGTCACAAGGTGGCACCATCACATGGCTTTACATATTTGGACAGAGTATCTAATGCTTTTTGCAGCATGTATATTCTCAGAAACTCATAAAGCCAGTCATTAGATTTTAGAATCTAAGAGGAAGCTCATGTTTACCTGTGGAGTGTAAAATTCTTAGTAGTTGTAACCCAGTGCCTGCACACCTCAGCCAAGTTCTCATCTGTCTTCCCACCCTCACAGAGCTCCTTTTGAAGTCATTGGAGCTCCTCGTGCTGAGCATTTCGTGGGGGTGCAGAGCAAGGTGAGAGTTGGGACCACTGAGTTACATAGAAGTATTTTAAATACAGGGGCATTATACCTCAAGTAAGTATTTCTTAAGTTTGTTACGAAATAGAGCACTAGAGGGCAGCATTTACCCCTTTTCCATTTTTATCTTAATCCAGGCTCTGGAACTCTCTTCAATGTTCTATGCAGTTTTGAAAAAATCTGGTTAGATAGTTTTAAGGCATGGGACATACATTGATGACAAAGCCATGTTTGGGAACTGTCCGTATTTTTTCAGCGAGAGGATCTTTTAATTTAGTTTGTATATAGTTGGGGACTTACAGTCTGATGTCAGTTGGAGAAAATTCCTGAAGACAAAAACACGTTAACCCACTTTAAAAGGAGACTGTTAGTCATGTAGAGTCGATGTTACCCGAACTTCTGGTGAGCACAAATAGAATGTTAAAGTCTAGCAGTGCCGGTGAGTATTAAGGCTTTGACAGAGGGACTTAGAAATATATAACTGGTCCCCTCCTGGTCACAGAAATAGACTGGTTTACTTCACTTCTCCGGCATCAGATGGAGCAGTTGAAATCGAACAGTTATAAACATTTCTGTCGGCCTGGGTCTGGCCAGTTCTCTGTTTGTGAATCATGTTTTACTATCTGATATTGAAATCCAGGAATTCATAAGTAAAGGGAAAGTAGAATTTTGTATCTATAGTACTTGATACTAGGCTAAACTTTCAGCTAATGTACAAATCTTTTAAGTAAACAAAATCTATAAATGAATTATTAGCATATGACCCTTGGGCCAGAAAGGTGACCTTCACAATCCTATAAAACACTGAGTATTTTGTAAAACAAACAAAAAACCCCCCTCCAACCCCTTCAAAAAACTATGTTTGAAGATTTAGCATAAAATTTGAATTGTTGTAGAAGATACCACAAAATAGCCAATTTTCAAAATAGAATTTTCACTTGAAAGCCACTTTCTGGCTTTTTGTTAAAAATAGTTTAATTACTTGCAAATATAACTTCCTGATTTGTCAAAAATTGGAACACATCCTGGCTTTCTAGAAATTGGTATTTTGGTTATACTGAAAGCTATTTGTATGTTGTTGTTTGCTTTATCAGGTTATTCTTGGACACTACAATTGGCTCTCCTACGAAGACGTCTTCATTAGCGCTTTCAATTTTGGAAACGGCTTACAGATGCTGGGTCAGAAGCCGAAGACCAACATCGCCATCTTCTGTGAGACCAGGGCTGAGTGGATGATCGCTGCGCAGGCGTGCTTCATGTACAACTTCCAGCGTACGTGCGCCGGCTCCTCCGCCCCCCCCCAGTTTTCCCCGGCTCCCCCTGGCTCCCTTTCTGGAGGAGGGGACCCATGCTGTGGTGGAAGAGGTGATGCTGACTTTAGTTACAGATATCTCACTCTTACCAGATTAAAGCTCCCACGTTATTTTTCACCTTGCGTTCAGTCAGTGGAGAACTTGTTATAACTTAGAGTTATTGATCTATTTTGGAAAAGCAGCCAGTGGGGGAAGAAGTGGTGCAGTCACTGGTAAGGGGACTTCCTGGGTATAGGGAGCCAAGCCCACACGTTGCTGCCGTCTCCCAGGGTCTCCCCTCTGAAGGAAGGTGGTGGCATTTTGTTAGGCCACCGCTGTCAGGAGTGACAGCTGGCCTCTGAAACACTTCCAGTCCTCGGACCCAGGAGTTCAGCCAGGCGGTGGAGAATTTTTGTATGGTCGCTGTGTGAGTGGTGTTCACGATGCTTTAGTCTGTGAGGCGGTCCTGGAAGCGGGCTGAGAGGTCTTGGTGCCAAAACGTGATGCCAGGTGTGGACAGTGTCTTATCCTTTAGATGAAGCAGAAAGGACACTTTTGCCAGATTTCTTGCTGTAAATGCCTTCACCGTGTTTTTTTTTAATTGGCACACCTTTTAATTTTCAAAGGTTTAGGTTTACAAAGTGTTTTGCGTTTTTTTTTGAGAAGCTTTAAAATAATTAAGTCAAAGCCACTTTAAGTCTTAACCCTTGAGTTATGCAGAAAGCAAAAAAAAAAAAAACCTCACCCGTTTATTTCAACATTTCTAAGAATATTTTTCTTTAGATTTTCTGCTTTAGAATAAGCAGCACGACTCTTGTTCAAGCCATTTCTATGTATAATATCTTAAATGTGATTTCCAGTGTCTTTATCTTATTGCTTTATGTTTTTTTCATATTTTAGTACCAAGTAGTTAACAACTAAAATTTAACATTTAAGTTTTATGTAATTACTTCCAGTATGACAGTCCTACAGAAACATCTATAGGTGAAACAAAATGAAATTAAAAAAATTTTTATTTTAAAATATTGGGACTCTTGGGGGAAATTAGGGAAGGGTGAGTTGGCATATTAAAATAATTTGGGAAAACACAGCACAGTTAGATGATAAACTGTAGACCTAATGGTGTAGGACTCAGTAAGCTCCATTATGCGTGTCGGCTTTCAAAGGCGTTGCCTACATTGTGCAGGCCGACGTGAGCATGTCTGACTTGCTCTTCTTTCCCTACAGTTGTCACTTTGTATGCGACTCTGGGAGGCCCGGCAATTGTCCATGGACTAAATGAAACGGAGGTGACGAACATCATCACTAGTAAAGAGCTGCTGCAAACAAAGTTGAAGGTGAGGACTGGAGGGTTTTTTTAACTGTCCCGTGCTTCAGAATTTTCAGTGTCATGAGCTCTGTTATTGATACTTAGTTCTTTTATGATCTTTAACATCCTTAATGTCTTTGTAAACTAATGGGACTATCATAGTTTTACTCCTTTAGAAAAGAGAAAGTAGATCTCGTATTCACATACAACTAGTGCAAAGAGCCAACAAATTAATTGTTAATAGGCCCATATCTAAGGCAAAGGGATTATAACTATTGCGCTCAACCATTTTCTAGTCTATTTTTAGTACACTTGTAATTTTGACCGGTTATTTTTAAACTAGTAATTTTATTTCTGAAGCATTGAGTCCTTATGAGTTCTCAGGATTTTTTAAATGGGGAAAATAAAGACTTCATGAAACTATAGGGAAAATGGGTGTCTTTAATTTCTAGACATCTCCCTGTGAAAACAGTAATTTCCAATGCTTTCTTGTCTTAAAACATACAAGTCTGTAAGTGCATTCCGTCCCTTTCCCTGTGTCGTTATTAGCCCCTTGCTCCCTGAGGGAGTTCGGCTTCCCTGCAGTCCGGGCAGCCTGTGCTCACTCACATGCCTGTTCCTGAGAAAGTAACTTCGTTGATGAAGGGTTTACCAAAGGGCAGGGGTACAAACAGTAAATCTAATGCTGTAAAACTCATTTAAATTTCAGACCAATATCTCTGTATCTGAAAAAGTGGTATGCATGCCAGTGTGCTCCTTCCTCCTTTTTTGAGGCAAGAAACTAGTAACTCACCGAATATGGTGAACTGCTTTGCTTGTGTCTCGGGCCATTGCTAAGCTGTGTCATGAAGAATAGTGACCATGATGAACACTGTGTTTTTCCAGGATATAGTCTCTTTAGTCCCTCGCCTGCGGCACATCATCACAGTCAATGGCAAGCCGCCCACCTGGACGGAGTTCCCCAAGGGCGTCATTGTGCACACCATGGCCGCAGTGCAGGCGCTGGGAGCCAAGGCGAGTGCGGGTAGGTGGCAGCACCCGGGCCCTGTGTGTTCTGCAGTGACCCTGTTCTCCAGAATCGTTTCTGCACCTCTGCTTTGGGAAGTTCCCGAGAGAGGTTTAGGAAACGTGCAAATGTTAATTTATGAATGTTCTAACAGTAGTATTTATTTGAAATTACTTTGAAACACGTTTTACTTTATACAGTTTTTCCGTTTCCTTTTTCTGATAGTTTTGGATGGTTTAAAGTTAGTTTTATAAATAGGGGCATGAAACTTGTCCCGTGAATTATCTGTATTAAAAGACAGCTGAACCTAACATCCCTCCTTTTACTCCCCTTTCCAACTGCACCTCTTCCGGAGGGTGCCTCCTTTTACCCCCCAGCGAGTGAGCACACCTGGGCACCGTGACTCTGGAAGCTCCTCCCCTCACATCAGCGTCAGCAGATGTTAGTGAGCACACCGGCATTTGGGGATATCTGAGAGAGCTGCTGGGTGCTGGGGTTGCATTTCCTTTCTAGTTGGAAATTAGTGATTAATTCTCTGTAAGCATTGGCATTGGCTCTGGGGTGGGGTTATGCTGACGTTGATTCTGGGCAGGTGCTGGTGGGACATCCAGAGGTGGGTGTCTAGTGGGCAGTGGCCTGTACAAGTGCAGTACTCTGGACTTAAGTTTGGGGTTGAGATTTAGAAGCCAGGAGCAGTTTTTTTTTTCTTTTTTTCACCAAGGGTGTAGAACCTCCCAACTTTCTTCAAGGCACATAGCCACAGCCTCCAGAGGTGACACAATCCCCTTGCTGTCAGCCCCTCTGTTTAAACTGCTGTAGCGGCAAACAGCTTAGGGGCTGGCAGTTAGGTTTTCATTGTAGCTGTGACTCAGGCGAGGTCACCCACAGAGAATGGTACATTCGAATGCCACCCAGAACTGGGCAGAGGGGAAGGGAGAAAACGAGTGTCAACGAGGCAGGGCCAGGTGTGCCAGAGGAGTCAGGTGGCACAGGGATTGCAGGTCCATCTGATTTGGCACATCTCACCTCTGAGACAGCCATTTCCAAGAAGTGGGGGGAAGGGGGAGGGAGTGCACATTAGGAGGGAAGGGCTTGAATGAGGACCGCTGGGAGGAGGTGTGTCTGGGTGGCTGGAGAGAAAGGGCTCACCAGGGAACGTCTCGAACGTCTGCCCCCACTCATTCAAGAAGTCCGCATTTGGGTAGGTCCAGGATACTTCAGGCAGATCATTGGCGCCATCCTCGACCCACTTCTCGGGTCCCCTGTGTCTGCTCTGTGGGACGTGGCTGCTGGCCACAGGCTTGTGCACACGGAGGACACTCTCTTTTAATCCAGGGTTCCGAGTGTAGCCAGGTCGACTTGACCACTGAAGCAGAGAACCTTTTTAGCGAATGTCTAGGTACCCTTCTTTGTCCGCCTTGCTATATGTTATTTGAATTGCTGGAATAGCTTTTTGTCTGGGCCTCTTTCTTTCCCTTTTTAAATCGTGTGGCTATACATAGCCAAAGCGGTCTGTCCAGGATGACGACGATTCCCTGTCGAAAACAGCACTGCATTGTGCTGCAAAGTACAGTCCTAAACCCTTGGTGTGGCCCTGAAGGCTCTGTGTGACGTGGGCCTGGACACTGCTCCACCCTCCTCCCCTGCCACCTTCGCCTTGCTCACTCGACCCCGCCGCACTTCCTGCTGCCCCTCCTGCTGCCCCTCCTGCTGCCGAGCGCGTTCCTCCGCAGGGCCTTTGCACGTGCCTGTTTTCTGCCTGCGGCCGTCTCCCCGTCTCAGGGTTTTCCTGGCTCCCTTCCACACTTTCTTCAGATCTTTACTAAAATATTAATGCCACAGAAAGGCCTCTCCCGACTTGTGCAGCTATGTAGCTTCTACTGTATCATCTTCGTACCTTGTCCTGCTTTATTTTTTTTCATAGCTCTTATTGCATTGTCCCGTATATGCAGGGACCTGATCTGTCTGGTTGACCTGTGTGTGATTACAAGGAATAGTTGTTGAATTGAGTTAATAAACAAGTGATATGAAAAAATTGGTGCTTTGGCTAAATTTCTCAGAAATGTGTGTGTGTTTTTTTCCCTCCAATGCAGAAAACAAACCCGAGAGCACCCCAGCACCCTCGGATATCGCTGTCATCATGTACACAAGTGGGTCCACGGGGCTGCCCAAGGGGGTCATGATCTCCCACAGCAACATCGTCGCCGGGGTCACTGGGATGGCGGAGAGGATCCCAGGCCTGGGGTATGTCGTGGTGAATAAAGAGCAGCGCTCGAGCCACTTAGTCACGAATGGTTAAATTAGTCCTGCGGAGTCTGTTTATAGTAGGCATTTCCTTAAAATAAAAAAAGACATTAAAATTAGAAAATAATCATAGTTGTGAAGTTTTATAATATAGTTTATAGATATCCTTGACAGTTAGCTTTTTTACGTTAAAAGTGTAAATTTTAACTGTGGTCCTTTTTATACCTAAATATGTTCTAGTTCAGGTGAGCAAATACCTTGCTCTGTCCAGTTAGTGTTCATTGAGGTCTGAAGACAAATTCCCGTAGCAGCGGGCGGAGCAGGTACAGCAGGGAGACGGTGGAGGGGCCGGATGGGGCCGTGAGGGACTGACTGCAGGACTCGTTCCCAGAGACGGGGTCAGCTTGCTGACGGCTGATCTGGGCAGTGGCAGGATATTTTTGGAGCCCTGTGCAGAGAAATGACACACGCACTCAGTTCTGTGGACTGAGTTTGGCCATGGGAGGGAAATTTCTGTTAGGCATGTATCATTTTCAGAAAAGAATGAAGAGCAACACTGACTCGTTTGCCTCAGTTGCCTTTCCTGGTTTGGAGAGGGGGCAGTTCTTGAACTTTTGAATGTGTACTCTCAGACAGATGCCCATATACATTTTCTTATGTAAGGCATAATTTATTGTGTGTAATTTAATGCAGCTCTCAGAACAGGAATCTCTTCTGTAAGATTCCTGGCAGACTGTGGGTTCCGTTTGAACTCTGCGTGGTAGCCCACTAGCATTAGAGAGCATTTTCTCCTGGGATCTCTTCTCTCCTTCTAAAGAAGAACCCTTCGTTTTCTTACCCCATCTTTAATTTCTTCTGCCTAGCGCTTCGCTTCTGCAGCACTTAGAATTGATCAGCGAGTGCCCTCCAGTAGGACGGGACTCAGAGCAGCTTGCCTAGAGTGTCTGTCTGCCTCCTCGGTTTTAGGCTGAGCTGGACTTTTCCCCCCTGACACCCCCAGTGTCTGTCTGTCCCTCTGTGTCTGCCGCTCTCCTCTCTCACACCGCACCACCTCAAGCAGAGTCATGTGAATGCCGAGGGCCCTTCCTGTGCCTTCTCGGGCTTGGTCCCGCTGTTACCACTTTTGGCAGAAGGACCTCCTGACAGTTTCTTCCACTCGTTCCCTTTTCTTCCAGGGAGGAAGATGTTTACATTGGATACTTGCCCCTGGCCCACGTGTTGGAGTTAAGTGCTGAGCTCGTTTGCCTTTCTCATGGGTGTTGCATAGGCTACTCTTCGCCACAGACGTTAGCAGACCAGGTAAATGAATGTCTGCCACTTCCGATACTGGAAAACCACGATAATTTTTAACACATTTTCCCCATTGGTTTGATAGTATGTTTTGAAGATGACAGTTAATTATCTTAAAATAATCACTTGCCTTTGGATTGCTTTATAGAAGTAAATTAACATGACGAATTTATAATATGCTTTTTTTATTCCACTGAATTTTTAAAATAAGAATCACTTTATATAGATCACTTTTTCTCTCTGTAGTCTTCAAAAATAAAAAAAGGAAGCAAAGGGGATACATCCACACTGAAGCCGACACTGATGGCCGCAGTTCCGGTAAGAACTGACCACTGGTTAATGCCGCGTTCCAGAGAAGGGTCATCCGCAGAACATGGTGCTAGTGGGAGAGATGCTGTTGTCCAGGTGGTTTGCGTGGGGTTTAGTTTTTATTGATTTTCTGTAGTGCTTTAAGCTCTACGGGTTTATTCAGTATTAGTTTACCTTTTGTTAAATTTTCAGTCTCTGTATGTATTATATTCTCAACTGTTTTCTCTAAATAGCTTTTTGCTCAAATTATTTTTATGCAGTTCGTCTGCTATAGTAGAAACCTGAAGCTCAGCAAGAGATAGGAGAGAGGGTTTGAGAGCAGCACCGCCTTCTAAGCAAAGAGTGTGGTTACCTCCCAAATCCTCAGGGAATGTCTGGCCTAGAAACCAAAAAGAGCAAAGAGCAGCCAGTGCCACTTGGATGACCTGCGCATCCCAGTGTAGCACCAGGTGTGGGGAGGGGCCCGGGAGTGAGAGCAATGGGAATGAGCCATAGTGGCTTTCACTGTTTAAAGCAAGTCGTATGTGGCTTTCTGATTTTGTTTGAAAGTGTTGGGAGTTATGATTGGATATGATACCTGAGCACTCACATCTAAGCATAATTACATGGTTATACAAAATAATTTAAATGACCAACAGTTCTCTGGCTATATAGTTTTCTTAGTAGTACCTTATTTTAAATTTTCAGTTCCCATGAAGTTTATTATTTAACTGCAGAGGAAAAACCATGTGAAGTCGTCAGAGTATACTTCATAGTAGTCATAGGCCAAGCAGGCAAAATAGAGTGCAAAGAAAATTTCCCAGGCGCAGCACCGAGAGACAAACAGCAACCGAAAGAACCCCGGAGAGTGTCGTACTCTGTAACTAAAACCTTTCCATGTAGTTGTTGTTTGTTTGTGTAGTGAGTTTAGTGTTTAATTCAGAATAAATGAAGAAAAGTAATATAAAACATCTGTATCGTAATGACACGTTACCGCCCCAGTGTTCTTCTTCTTCTTCTTTTTTTTTTTTTTTTTTACTGCTGAGCATCTAGGTACATTTTTGCTATTAAAAATTTTTACAGAACCTTCGTTTTTAAACTAATTTTTTTGGCTATAGGTTAAAAATGTGTTCCTGATAAAGTATCTTTTAGAATGTCTTAGTATTGGTAGAAATATTAATCTGATATGCCGCTTTTAATAGGTGTAAGGCAGCTGGTAGCATTATTAACTGTGTTAACTCATTTTTATACATGTAGGAAATCATGGATCGAATCTACAAAAATGTCATGAATAAAGTGAATGAAATGAGTAGTTTTCAACGTAACCTGTTTATTCTGGCCTATAACTATAAAATGGAACAGATTTCAAAGGGACAGAGTACTCCGCTATGTGATAGGTAAGTCAGGGCTGTCCCTCCTGATCATTCAGTCACTCTGTTCACATCAACAGCCCTGTTAATTGAGGTAGCTGTAGGAAATACATTTATTTTAAAAAGTCAGAGGGACTCTTTAAAAACCCCATCTTGCATAAGAATATGAACAATTTAAAAATACTGCCATTTTAGTTGAAAAAAATTTACATTTACAGTTTTACTTGATTTAATAGTGTGCTTATATTTTATGTAGACCCATATGTGATTTTAATTATTTTGAGCAATAGTTTCTCTTTGTTTTTAGACTTATTTCGTATGAGTATAAAGTGGCAATCAAGTATGATTGAATGCCTTCTGTTTAAACAGACCTATTAATTTTTTGTTTTTGTAGTACTAATAGAGTAAGTAGATTTAATTATAAAATAGTTTATAATTTAGAAAATGAAAGTGTGGCACTCAGATTATTTTTCTGGTAATATTAATAGATGGTAGTTTTCAAATGCTTCATTTTATTTAAAACTTTATAAGTTTTTTTCTACCTTCTAGTTATCTCTTTAGTGACATATATAACCTATTCTGTAAAACTTTTAATATATATATTTTTTAATGATTGCCATTTGGTCTTTGCCCTTTTCAAAGTTACTTAACAAAAAACCTCTTCCTTCCTTTGATCAAGGTAGTGAGTAAACTTTTTAAATTGTATTTTCAGAAACATTTCAATTCAATATTTGAATTTTTTAATTCACCAGATAATATGTTAAAAATAAACACATTGGAACTTGAATTAGTGTAATTTTTTTCAAAAGTTAGATTGCTGTGTATAAATGTGTACATATTTCTAATGAAGTAAGCTAAAGCAAAAAATTAATTTGCTTTTAATGCTGTTTATAAAGATATAATAGGGTTATTCAGTGTTAATATGATATGATGTAGAAGGAATTGCTGTGCCCATTAGTAAGCGTTTTCCATTATTCTGTAATATTAATCCAGACAATTTTGAATTCAGCTATTAGTTGAAAACTTTTTAAGAGGAGATCATATATTCTTTACTTGGTTGAACTTTTAAAAATTAAGACTTAAGTAGTGGGTCAAGAGAATCTCTTGAATTGGGTGTGTGGCCTTGGATAAGTCACTAAATATCAAAACTAGGAGATTAATGTAAATGATTTGGGAAATCCCATTCAGCTTTACAATCCTGTGATTCTCTGGTTATTTCATTGTTTTAGATTTGTTTTCCGGAAAGTTCGAAGCTTGCTGGGTGGGAATATCCGGCTTCTGTTGTGTGGGGGGGCTCCACTGTCCGCAGCCACCCAGCGCTTCATGAACATCTGCTTCTGCTGCTCCGTGGGGCAGGGCTACGGGCTCACCGAGTCTGCCGGGGCCGGGACGATCACAGAAGGTCAGTGCCGCCCGGACTGGAGTGTCCGGCCGAGGCTGGGTGCGGCTTCGTGCACTTTTGGTTATAGGTGGTTTTCTACAAATATGCAGGAGAACAGGGGTCAAGATACTTGTCTGGCGCAACGATGGTACATTCCATGTTCTGTGATTACTTATTAACGTTTTGGAATGTGTTAAGTAATTAAATATGTCTAATAGTAACTCATCTAGAAGAGTGTTTCATGTTAAATTAGGTAATACTAAAAAAATAGCATTTTGGAAATTTTAGTAAAAAATAGTGGCTATATTGTATACATTTGTTACATCAGTTATTAAATTCTGCTTAGGTAGAAAATTAATGTATTTTATAGTTTGTGTATTACATCTCAAATTCAGATATGCTTCTTGAGGGAGGGGGTGTGTGCAGAACTATGGAGTAAGAAAGGTATACACAGAGAGAAGTCTGGACAGTGCCATCTTCAGAGTTTAGCACGATGACATGGTTGATCTGCTCCCCGGGTGGTTCCCAGATGAATCGCACAGCACCTCATGTGCCTCTTCTGTGGGACAAAGTCACGTTGCTTTCTAGTTTCTAGTCCTAGGAAAAGCTGTGTTTCTACTCTGTATTTTTTAGATGCCGACAGATATTAAACCCCTTCATGGCTGATTTTTTTCTTATTTGCCTCGAGTGTCTCTGTGTACTATTTACCCTCTGTGTATGTTTTTAGGCATTGCTCCTGTATTTTTCTGTTTTCAGTTATGTTCTCTGTATTTTATATATTTTTGGAAGCTAGTTCTAAGTTTTGTAGGAAATAAACAAGTAGTCTTTAAGGATCTTAATTTCATCTATATTTAAGATTCACCTTGAAAATGTGATGAATCAGTTACAGTTTGTTTTAACTAGAACTCTCTACAGTGTTAAATTGTGGCATTGTATTTCTGATACGTCAACAGCCTTTGAAGAGGAAACAGTGCAGTTTCTAATGCTGGGTTCTTTTCCCAGGTTCTTGGACATTAGTGATCTTAATTTCCAGCCTGGTCTTTGAGCCCTTGTGGCAGGAATTTAAATATGGCAATGATAAGATAACTGATGAGAGGGAGGCTTCTGAGGTCTCATGTGGAAATAGTGACACATGGGAGAAAGTTGGAGAGCCCATTTCTACTTCAGAGTTGTCACGTCTGATAGACAGTGGAATTAGGTATAAACCATTCTACTCCATTTTGGAAGACGGGGGCAGGTACTTCAGTGAGAGGAGCAGGCCCTGATGTAAGGAGATGCGATGGGCAAGGGACCTGGGAACTGGAGCAGCAGGCCTGTCCGTCAGCGAGGACTCCAGTTGTTGCTGAGCTGGGAACGGGGTTCCCGGAGACTGCACCCCTGTGTGAAAGGGCTTGGTGTTTTCAGTGTCAGTAATCAGTTCAGATCAAAAACAAAACAGAAGAAAAACTCAGGGTGGGCCACACAGCCCATTGGTCACTGGTGTGTGACTTCTGCTTTTAAGGATTCTCTGGGGATATCTGAGGTTTAGGATAAGTTACTGTTTTTGTAATTTACAAAGATGAAGCAGTTTATTACCTACTGTAATCAAAGACTTTTCCTTTGCCTCTCAGTGTGGGACTACAACACTGGCAGAGTGGGGGCGCCCCTGGTGTGCTGCGAAATCAGACTAAAGAACTGGGAGGAAGGTGATGAGTATTCTGACCACAGCCTCGTTGTGTCTAGTATTATAAAATTAGCATTGTGCTTCATCGTCATCTTCATTTCACAATACAAACTACAACTGCTCATTCTGGTCCCTTATAATACATATTTTTATCTAGAGCCATACTTTTTGGCTTAGAGCATTTACTTTGCTTGTTTCAAAGATGATTGTGACGAATTACAGTTGTTTTTATTTTGCTAAAAAAAATACAAGTAAGTACATTTTGTCAGTTAATTAGGAATTATAACTTTTATTTTGTAGAAGCAAATTTGTAAAATTTATTCTATGAATCCAAAGATTTTTACTTTTTTTTCCTGAGGGCTTCAACCAAGAATTAATAGAAGGAAATTTTTATTGTAATTTCATAAAAATCTGCTGTTATATGCCACTTAAATACTAATTACTCTTAAATTTTATTTTGTACATATATTATCAACGATTTGTTTGGATGCCCTTTTCTTTCATGCATAGTAAAGATTCTAAGGCTCAGATACAATTTTTCAGCTATTAGCAGAATTAGTGAAAATGTTTAATAAATTTAAACTTGGACTATTCTGAAATTATCTGTAAAAATTAAATCATAAATATAGAGTAACCTGATTTTTACACTTGCTGTTCATTTGCTGAATATATGATTTAATGCTTTTATTAGTTCTATTAGTGTAATATTTAAGAATCTCTACAGAATTCTTAGAGGAGTTTACTTGTGAATGTGTATAATTATTTTATACGATAGATATTGGATTTTTTAGTGGAATTTATTTTTTTAATTGTAGTTTAAAAGCATATATTCTGCGGTTAAGTAAGTGAAGTTTTGTACCTTGTTTTATGTTGATAAGCTTTGTTAATTTACAGTGTCTGCCTTATTTCCTTTGGGAAACTAGAATCGGATGAAATTAGGTATCCCTGTTCAGAAACTTAGAAACTAACAGTTTCAAATTTTCACATGATGCATATAGGGATAAAAATACTGGATTAACTCTAAGTTACTCTGTTTATCAGGTGGATACTTCAATACAGATAAACCACATCCCAGGGGTGAGATCCTTATTGGTGGCCAGAATGTGACGATGGGGTACTACAAAAATGATGCAAAAACAAAAGCTGACTTCTTTGAAGACAAGAACGGGCAGAGGTGGCTCTGTACCGGAGACATTGGAGAGTTTGACCCCGATGGTTGTTTGAAGATTATCGGTGAGCCAGCTAATGTTCTCTTTTGAACGTGGGCATTTCTGAAACCCTTTTACAGGAGGGATGTTGTGTATTTAGAGAAGCTGTTTAATCATGTCCAGATCTCTCCATGTGATGTTGGTGTGGTCTGTTGAGTCGTCCCTGGAACATAAAAGTTTGCAGTAGGGATGGTGCAGAATTATTGGCACAACAGATATGTGCGGTTTTGGAATCTGTTCAACAGCAGCGGTGTTTGTACTAACCACTGGCTAACCTGTAAAGAGTCATATGTTTTTAAAGATTTTATTTATTTATTTTTAGAGAGAAGGGAGGGAGAAAGAGAGGGAGAGAAACATCAGTGTGTGGTTGCCTCTTGTACACCCCGCACTGGGGACCTGGCTGCAACCCCGGCATGTGCCCTGACTGGGAGTTGAACCACGGCCCTTTGGCTCCCAGGCCGGCGCTCAGTCCACTGAACTACACCAGCCAGGGCGAGAGTCATAGTCTTAATAAGGAACATTCATTTGTGTGAATTCTTTGGTGTCCAGAGGTTGTAAGACAGGGCTCTCTCCTGTCGGAGCCATGCCCCTGCCTTGCCCGTGAGAACTAAGGAAGGCCTGGCGCTCTGTGGGGCGACAGGCATCTTCGCCTGCTCCTCTTTAAGATTCTTTCTCAGTTAATGTCATCTCTGTCCCAGTCAGGACAGAGACCTGGGAAGAGATGCCTCTGTCAGCTCCCCACATCTAACCCACAGCCCGTAATTCACTGTACGAAGTAGACCTCGAGGTCCTGCTCTTCTCTCTCTCCCCCCCGCCCCTGCCGGGCCGTGGGTTAGGCTGCACCTTCTGTCACTGTCGCAGGAAATTCCTCTCAGTTACCACAGCTGCTCCCTTCGCACGTACTTTCATGCTGCCACTGTGTGCTTCTAAACACTAATCGCATGGGGCCACTTTCCTGCTGAAACCTGTTAGTCTCTCTTAGAGGCTCAGTTCAGGGCTCCTCTGTTATGTGGCCTGATGCACCTTCATCCTTACTTCTGGTGGGTGCTTTCTTCTCTGCTGCGGAGTTTGCTAGTTTGAGCTGGCCTGTGTCTGGCTCTGCTCTCGGCCAGCGCTGGTGCACTTGACTATCACTCAGCCTTCCCCCAAGACTCGGCTCAGGCCTCGCGTGTGGGAATGCTTTCCAAAACAGCAGGTTGGTAGTCTTAACACTTAGCACGACCACAGTGTGTTGAAGCCCCTCGGTTTCGCATCGTGCATCTCTCCAGGTAGAATGTGATCTCTGGTGGCGGTGAGTGTATTCTTCACCTTCCTGGACAACGTAGACCAGGGAAACAGCCGTCGAGAAGAACATAACTACAGCTCTGATGAGGGGGGAGGCCCCTTCATCAGAAGCTAATTAAAAAAATGTATTTAATACTATCAAAATTAGGGCTTAATTGTATTATGTACTTGTAATGTTAGCGTAACTATTACAGTGATCTCAGCTGATAGCAGATTGCTTAGAGAATGGCTGATACTTCTGCGTATTAAAGGTGTCACTAGCGTCATCCTCTAATGTCGCCCCTCCCGGCCTTTGTCTTGCACAGATCGTAAAAAGGACCTTGTAAAGCTTCAGGCAGGAGAATATGTTTCTCTTGGGAAAGTAGAGGCAGCTTTGAAGAATCTTCCATTAATAGACAACATTTGTGCATATGCAAACAGGTAAGAAAGTACAATTCATACAGCTTTTACTTAAACCATTTAGTGTGCTATTATAAGCATTTCCTTCCTATATGGGTCTTCTTTGGGAAATTATACCAAGAACCCTCCCTTCTTATCTGTTGTCTCATTACAGCCATGAACTGATTCTTTCCTTGTCGTGCCTCCCCCACCCCCACTCCCACCCCACCCCACCTTCCTGTGTCAGCTTTCTGTCTCACAGTCGTGCCCTCTGCGGTGGGGAGGTGAAGACAGGAAAGCCCTCCTTCCTGCAGCCCGGGTAGCCCTAGCTGCCCGCTCTCTGCCCAGGGACGCTTCCCAGAACCAGTCCAGAGGAAGCTGGAGTCAAGAAAGAAGTTGGGTGCAGGCGAGGGTCCCTGCTCTAAAAGGGAGCCTGCTTGGGACCCTGGCCAAGGCCAAGGGCTTCTTCCTTAAGCTGTTAAGCCCATGATGACTTAGAGGCAGTCGGGAAGGAGAGTTTAAAGTTAAAATCCCAGAATTGCATTCTTGGGAAGTGAGTTAGAATTTTAGATTGGCGCTGTGATACCTTTTCCCAATAGTACTGTGTGGGATGGAGCTGTTCTCCAGGGTCAGATGTGTCGTGGCCAGTCCAGCAACCTCACCGCAGCAGTTGACGTGACAATTTTGGGGGAAAATAGGCCCTGCTTTCAGAAGAGGTGATTTAGAAACAGACTTTGAGGTGCAGCCCCAGTTAAAGATTGATTACATTTATGTGTATAAATGATTCGGCCCCTTAATGACAGATTTTTGTTAGTGATGCCACGGTTCTGGGTTTTACAAACTGTGACGTTAACCAGAACGGCCCTTCCCTTCCTGCTGCCGCTGCCCTGGAGGCTTGTGCCTTCAGCGGCAACACAGCTCCTCTTCTGACCCAGGTTCTCAGGAGACCAAAGGGAAAAATCAGTGTGATCCCATTGCTTGGGTTTGCTGCCAGATTTCTTTAGGTACAGCTTTGTATTTGTATTAGCTTGTATATCTGTTTAAGCTGTTAAAATGAATTACTGATTTTTTTAAAGATGAGTTTTCTAATATTTGTGATTTTCTTTTTAAAAATGTGTGCATGGCACTATTCCTGTGTATATTTGAAATTGATCATGAAATGTCAGGTTAAGGCGTATTTAGCAATGAACCCTGCCAAAGCAGCAGCACGTGCTGTGAGTCAGACAGCAGAGTGGCTGCGGCGTGAACTCGGGCCCGTCCCCAGGCTGCCGCCCGCGTTCTCTGGGAAGCAGTGCAGGGCTGGCCACCGAGATGCCAGTGTGGGTAGACCTGCAGCCACGGCCTGCCTTTCAGTTCCGTCCCTGAGCTGCCCTTTGACTCTTCCAGCTACCACTCTTACGTCATCGGATTTGTTGTGCCAAACCAAAAGGAACTGACAGAACTGGCCCGGAAGAAAGGGCTGAAAGGGACGTGGGAGGAGCTGTGCAACAGCTGTGAGATGGAAAACGAGGTCCTCAAGGTGCTGTCCGAGGCCGCCGTTTCAGGTGAGCGATTCTCACACGGGCTCTGAGACCAGGCTGGGAAGAGAGTACGTACACGCGCTTGTCCTGTCATGTTACGGGGCTCAGGTTACATGGTTTCCCTCTCAGAAACCGCTCGACTTTCCCTACCATCGGTAGAGGAACATTCCAGTCCCCCGTGGAGCCCTGCCACCACGGGGCACGTGGGTCATCGGAGGGCTCTCGCCGCTGCTGCCGCCACCGCCGCCTTGCGGGCCGGCCCTTTCTCTGCGTTCCTCAGCCGTTTCCAGACCCGCTCGGCGTGCTGGTCACCCAGCCCTCACGCCGTCTGCGGTTCTATTCTGTACTCTCTGTGCTGCTGGTGTCCTGGGCGCTGGTTGTGCTGGTGTGTCCCTGCGCCCGCTCCGTGTGTTTGGGGAGGGAGACAGGGAGACTAGATTAACGTGCTGGTTTCGTAGAAGCCTCCTGAGTCACCAGTATTCAGTAGAACACAGGTGTGTCCTTTATTCTCCTTGCGTATGTTATTCACGTGTGTGAAAAATGTAAATGGCACTTAGCCTGGTGGAATCATTGTTCTGACCCTTTATTTCAACAGTAATATTTGTTAGTGGGTCAGCTTGCGGATTATTTCCAGTAGTGTTTTAGGAACTTAAAACTTTGGACCAATGCTAAATTGAGTTAATAGATATTCATTAGAAACCAACATAATTTCTAAGTAAGAGAATACTGAAATGATAAGCATAATTTTAGACTTATATACTTTTTTGCTTGTTAATTTTATTTATAAATAAACAGCTTTATTGAGATGTATTCATACACCCAACAACTCACTCAACGTGTACTATTTAGGCAGTTTGTCATACGTTCATGGAACTGTGCCCCTGTCCCTCCCCACAGGCAGTTTTTGGACATTGTCATCACCCCCAGAGGAAATCCCGTGGCCATTGGCACTCACTCCCCAGCACACCTCAACGCCCTCAGCCCTTGGCAGCTACCAATCTACTTTATTTCCATGGATTTGCTCATCGGGGCGATTTTGTATGAGTAGAATCACATAATGTATGATTTCTGTGGCTTGTTCCTTTCACTTAGCATAATGTTTATCCATGTATTAACACTCATTCCCCCTTTTATTGCCAAATAGTGTTTCACTGTGTGGGTATGTATATCGCACGTTGTTTGTCCATTCACCCTCGGGTGGACATCTGGGGAGTTTCACCTGGGGCCGTAGCTGAGTGGTGAGCGCTGCCGTGAGCATTCACACGGAAGTGTGTGTGGGTGTGTCTTTCTCTCGGATAAATACCTAGGAGTGCAGGTGCCGAGCCTGCGCCAACTTTATGTCAGACTTTTTGAGGAACCACCGGACTATTTTCTAGAACAGTTTTTCCCAATATTTTCTAAAATGGTAGCCCTGTGTTCCATTCCCACTAGTGTTGTGTGAGGCTTCAGTTTTCCTGCCTTCTTGCCGACTTTCGTCATCCGTCCCTTTGCTTCCGGCCGTCCTAGTGGGTGTGGAGCGGCACCTCACTGTGGTTTGCATTGGTAATTTCCTGGTGGCCGGTGGCACTGGGCATCTTCTAGTGTACTTACTGCCCGGTGTATGGCCTCTGTGGGGAAAGGTCTGTTCGGATGCTTTGCCCGTTTTCTAAAACGGGGCCGTCTTTGTATCACTGAGTTTTATGAGTTCGTATCTGTTCTAGACACGAGTCCATTTTCAGATCCATGATTTGTACATATTTTCTCCTGTCCTAGTTTTCACTTTTTGGATGGTGTCCTTTAAGGCACAACAGTTTTAATTTGGTAAGATACAGTTTATGTAGGATATTTTCCTTTTGTTGCTCGTGCTTTTGGTGTCACACCTGAGAAACTATTGCCTAACCCCAGTCACAGAGCTGTCGCCCCTGTGTTTTCTGGTTTTCACTCTTACACTTTGGTCTTTGATACGTTTGGAGTTCATTTTTCTATATGATGTGAAGAACAACTTTCAAGTTCATTCTTACCCCAAATCTCCATCAGTCAGGGTTGCAGCCCAGGAAGAACCAGTAGGTTCTATAGATGAGTGAAGAAACTCACTGCGTGGAGCTGGTGTGTGTGGTTCTTGGGCTGGCTGGGCGGGGCTGGGCATCTGGGGGGTGGGGGGCTGCTGGGAGGCCGACCAACCTCTCAGGCGGGGGCTGAAGCTCCTGTCTCTGTCCACTGTGGAACTGTTTTGGGGGGATGCCTCAGCTCTGCTCTTACAAGCTTTAACTGACTGAATCAGATCCACTAAGATGATCTAGGATAATTTTCTTCATGTAAAAATAAACTGATTATAGACTTAATTACATCTACAAAACACCTTCTAAGCCCCACCTAGACTGGTGTTTAATTGAGTACCTGGGAACTCTAGCCCCGCCCAGGTAACACATAAAACTGACCAGTGCAGTCCACCCCTTACCAGCTCGGCATCCTCGTCCACCTGCTGAGACTGCAGTTAATTTGCGAGTGAGGGCTGTGGTCAGGTCAGACACCTGCCTGACAGGATACAGCTGTCGGCCTGGGACTGGAGAGAGTGATTTGTACTCTCCCCTTTGATGTCCTGTGAGTTAAATACTGCGATACAAAGTAAACTTATTAATAAATATTATGATAAAGGGGGAAGAGAACAAAGTGAGGAAGAAATAGTTATTGCAGCCCTCATTCCTGTGTTTACTTTTCTAAAACACTGGTTTAGATCATGTCACTGAGTTAGGCCATGCAGTGCAGTGCCAAGCAGTCTGGAACCTAAAACTTAGCTGGTCTCCCCACCCTGGCCTTTCCGTCTCCCCACATCTCAGGGACGTCAGACTCCTCGCCCAGTAAGTCCTGTGGTCCCAGCCTCGCCGCTCGGCCCCTGGGGGTTTCCCCTTGGACACCGCTCCTGGCATTCTCTGTCTCTGAATAAAACCTTGTTTGTTATCTCTGCTTACATTTTAATGTGTTAATAAATCACTTGTTCCTAAGACACTCGAACCTTTCATTTAGCACATTATAGATACGTACCTTATTGTGCCTGGTGTTTACCTATTCTCCCCTGTTAGATTGTGTGCCACTTGAGAGTAGAAACTGCCCATTTTTGTGTTTTTAAAGCCTGTTTAGCCGAGTGCTTTACATAGTAAGTTTCATTAAGTATGTGTGGAGTGAATGCTGGACGAGGCGGCCGGTCCCACGGAGGAAGTGTGTTTCTGCGAAGCTCGGCCTCCCGTTCCGCCTGCTTCCGTCTGCTGGTGAGGCTCTTCCCAGTGTCTGTGTCGGGACGTGTTCTGGCCCAGTGACAGAGTCTCTTTAAACTTGACACGTTTTTGTTTCTGACGTGGTTGTGCCTTTGTAATGAATTCAGAGAAAACAAGTAGGTGTAAAGAAGAAAGAGACCGTTCCCGTCTTCTTCATCCTGCACCCCGGCCCCCAGTGCCGTGTACAGGTTCTAGTTCGCTGTGCGTCCTTCTCGTCCTCCACATGTAGCTGCGTTGAAGTTTACGTAGCATTAAAAAACCTTGCCCTGTTTTTAACCTGGCACCCTGTTGCAAAAACTTCACACATCTATACCATGTAGGTGTAACTCACTCTTGATGACTGAGTTGCATTCTTTTTTATGCCCATAGCACAATTTGTTGTACTCCTTCTACCGGTGGACATGAATTTAAAGTTTTTTGCTGTGCCTATCCATGTATATTTAACTTGCGCAGCATTTCTGAGGGGTAGATTGCCTGGCAGTGAGAATCTTGGGATGTGCGCTGTGCATTTTGATGGGTACTCAAAGACTGTTTGCTAAGAGCTTCACTCGCACATTTTTCATGACTTTGCATTTCTATTTTTCCCACACCACCTCAGCAAGCCTGGAAAAGTTTGAAATTCCAGTGAAAATTCGTTTGAGTCCTGAACCATGGACCCCGGAAACTGGTCTGGTGACAGATGCCTTCAAGCTGAAGCGCAAAGAGCTGAAAACACATTACCAGGCGGACATTGAGCGAATGTACGGGAGGAAATAGCGTTCTCTCCGTCTTCGGTTTGCTGCAGGGAGCTCGGATCAGCTCGGGAAATACTTGAAATGCATGTCTCAGACCGTGAGGCGAACTCCGTTCCTCATGCTAGACCTGAACCGTCATTTCTCGTGACGTCGCCGCCTCTGACGGGACGAGGGAAAGACTGAGACAGCCGACGCCCTCGGTCTCGCCTTCTCCTCCTCAGTTCGTACGCGCCCGTCTGCGCGAGGACTCCCTCCCACACTGCACTGGGAGCAGCGGTTTTAAAACCTCAAGTTTTTAAACATGATTTGTATGTTCTGTATAATGTTCAGTTTGTAACTTTTTAAAGTTTGGATGTATAGAGGGTTAAATAGGAAATATAAAAATTGGTTATTTGGGGGGCTTTTTTACTCACAGTATTTAAAAATGTAAGGTTATGTATGATGTGAAATTATGTAAATTTCAAATGCTTATGAATCAAATCATTGTTGAACAAAAGCTTTGTTGCTGTGTAATTATTGTCCTGTATGCATTCGAGAGAAATAAATCCACCCATACTTACGTTTTAAGAAACTGAGACTTTGTGAATATGTGCCCGACAGCGTCCTCTTTTTACACTTGGTTTTATTGTGTAAAAATGAAGTTTGGTCGGTGCTGCATGGAACGAAGCCGCAGCAGAGGGTTGTGGTTTAACAGGGAAGGAGAGGACGCGGCCAGGGAGCCCCAGGGGTGACTGGCCTCGGGTGGCTCACCCTGGAGGCCGCAGTCTTACGTCAGCTGTCGAGACCGGGGAAACGTGCGGACTCAGAATTGAAAGCAGTTCTAAAAGTTAGACCGGGTAGAACTTAAACAAAGGGTAGAAAGTTAGTTATTCTTTATTTCATCGATCGTATGCACATTGAGTTGTCTGTATTTATGGCACATTAATTATGGAGATATATTCTGTGCCGCTCTCCTGCTTCTCATCTGCACACTTAACCTGTTTCTCCTCCCAGTTCGGATTTTTTCCCGGTGGTTCACACTTGTGTGTGTGCGTGTGCGTGTGTCTGTGTGTCTGTAGCTTATTGAAAAAGCACCTTGCTCTTTCTATCTTAAGCTTTCTACACTAGAAAATTAAACAACTTGGAATGCTTCAGATAATAGTATTCTTACTGATTTTCATGAGAACTTAATTTAATGAGATAAGTTTTAATTTGTGGATTTTCATGTCCGTGTGCCACATATTTGTGATTCTAGAAGCATTGCTTGTATGATACACAAAGTCTTTTCACATGTGTTTCTTGTCTACTATTTGAGCATTAAGAGTGATACTGTACCGATTAAGATGTGTTCAAATCAAGACTTTAAGAAAACATAGGTACCGTGTTTTTACGTCACATTGGTTATTTTCTGGATTCTCACTTCAGCATCAAAAGGCAAGAACCACGCTGAAACACAGACCGGAGGTGGGTGGGTGTGGGGTGGTGGGGTTTCCGGTCGCATCAAAAACGTCATTTTAGAGACATTGCAAATGGTGTTTTGTTTGGTTTTGAACTTGACTTGTATTCTTTTATATTTGTATTATGTTTCGAATGCTTTTCTCTTCATAGTTTATCATAAGGTTTGGGAAAACTGCCAAGAATTAAAAATGTGAAAGAAGTTCAATGGAAACTCCATCAGGATGTTGTGATCCAGAAGTTAAAACAGGGTGGGTGATGTTTCTGATGCTTTGTCTTCAGAGTACTGGTTGGCTTTCAAATGATCTTTAAAAGTTGTACTTAGAAAAAGAAGGTTCATTTCTTCAAAGGAGAGATGTTGGCGATATCACTGAATCAGAGTCAAACTTGTTTCTTTTCGGAAACATCTCATGAGGCTGGTTTAATTCATATCTAATTCCATTTTAATTGTTTTTTTTTTTATCATTCTTTTCAGTCCTAAAATAATCAGATGCCGAGTGTCCGGTATCACAGCAGAATCTGAAATGAAGTAGAATTCCTTTTCAAACACATTACTTTCTAAACCAAACCACCCATAGTGACTTGAAGAACAGTGTCCCTTAATATTACCCTTTCAAAAAGAAAAAGTTGGTTGATGGGGAAAAAACCCCCCACCAACAACTGTAATTATAAGATGCTGCTTTAACTCGGGGGTACCGGAGGAAAACGAGGAACTTCAGAGTACATACATCCCCACGTCTGCGCACATCTGTGTATGGATTGTAGGTCCCGAGAGGATGGTTCTCGGGGGCCCCTGGAAAGGGCTGAGGCGCTCTTCCCCACGCTCGGGGCTGCCCTCACTTACTCCCCCAAGCTCCACTCCCCACTAGTAGTTTTTAGCTTAACTTCATCAAGTTTTTGCCGATGACAAAACAAAACTTTCTAAGTACTACCTTGTTTTTAAGGAATGGGTTTGCTATCTACAATTTCTCTAAAGTCTGCAATTTTTGCAACAGTGTTTAAAAACAGATGAACTTGGCATATGCCCTTGCGGCTAAAATTCACAAGATTCTGTAGTTTTCAAATGATGAGTTCCTGTGATTCGACTTGACAGCTTAAGCAGAACACTGATGTGTGGGTTCTTTTGTAAAGAAATTCTGTGCATCTGGGACGTGTTACACGGGGGACCCGCTGTTCAGCTGTCCTACCAGGCCACTGAAATGGGACACACTGTACTTAGTGGTTGTTTACCGTGAGTTTCTCTTCAATGTTTTCTTGGTGATTGCTGTTTTCTGCCTGGGGAAGTGTAGACGCTACATGGTGTAGACTATTTGTAATTTGACATGAAGTTTGAAAAATAAAGATATGTAAAAACAATTCTGATATTAAAACTCAATGTTTTGTCCTAGGAAAAGAAAAGTTCCCTCCAAAAAAACTTCTGTACAACCTTCAATCGACATTCCTGAAATACTTGTTAAAAAGGGAGTTTGGGGGAATTTTCTTGGCCTGGCCACCCAGGTGAAGGGACGTTTCTGTATTCCAGAAATTCTGTTCTTCATTCCTCAGCTTTCTTCTTAATGTGGCATATTTCTGGAATATTTGTGCCAATCTTTAATCATTTGTGGGGGGAAGAGTTCTGCGTGATATCTCAGAAACCAACTGTAGGGCTAGGGTTAACATCTAGCAGCTTCAGCGTGTTTTTTTGTTTTTTTTTAATTCTTTTAAATCCTCACCTGAGATCATTTTCATTTTTCAGGCAGGGGAAGGGCGAGAAAGAGAAACATCACTCAGTTGCTTCTTTTACGCCCCCTGAGTCGGGACCGAATTCGGAACTTGGGCATGTGCCCTGACCCAGAATCAAACCTGTGACCTTTTGGTTTACGGGATGACCCTCCGACTGAGCCACACCAGCCAGGGCAGTGTGGTTTTTCTTGTTCTTTGTGCCTCCTTTCTCCAACTTTACTCAGTTATCGTAAATGTGGGTAGCTCTTCCGACTACACCAAGTATCTATAACTTAGAGTTCAGGCAGATCTGTATTGTCACAGACCCCCAGCTTCCTGTTGGGGAAAAAATGCAGCTGTCAGAGGAAATCAGCTTCGAAAGGTAGTGTCCTTTGATACTGCAAAGTTCCATATTCTTTATCAAAATGGGAGTGAAAAACCTGCCCAGCTTTCCAGATTTTATTCAACTCCTGTGATGCCAATGCCCTTCCTCACCATTAGGGTTAGTAAACCCCTTGGCCCTATTCTGGGACTTGTCACCTCCCCCACCCACCAGAAATACTCTGCAATCCCACAATGGGGGCTGTTGCTAAACCCCTGAATGAGAGCAGAGAACAGCCTTAACAGGAGGCCTGGGCAGGCAGCAGGCTCAGTGTGGCGCCCCAGGAGGGCTGGCGTGGGAAGTGTTCGTGTATGAAATGCCTGGCTCTGACCTCAGCGGTTGCTGTCTTGACGCCTGCATATCTGGTGCTGAGAGGTGGGCCTTGTGACCCCTCAGCTGCCCCGCCTTGCTGTGGGGCTGCTGTGCGTGGCCGGCTGGCTGGCCCAGGACACTGCTGGGCGCTTCGCCCGCCCTGTACAGGCAGGAGGCCCCTTCTGCTCAGCCTCGGTGCTGACACCATCATCACCAGCCTCTCTGGGTTTGGAGGATTTCTGCCTCGAGAGGAGTGCAGCAAGACTTCTGAGAATAAAAAGAAGGCTTCACCAATGTCCGGAGACTTGGCTGTGTCACAGCCGTGTCACAGGGAGCCCCCAGAACCTGTCTGAAACCTTTTCGGGTGATCAGCTGCTCACCTCGTTTGGGAAAGCGAGATGTGTCAGGCTGAAAAGGCATTTCTGTTTGTTGCCCATGAATTCCATTGCTGGGAGTCCAGGAAATCCCCGACGGATGTGGACTGAGGTTTCTTGTACAAAGACCATAGTGAAGTTTCTAGTAACCATCTGTTGGAAACAACCTATGATCCCTAATATCTAAACAGTTAAATGCCCCACTTGATTGATATGTAGGTAACAAATGTGTTTACACAACTGTTTATGTTATGAGAATGATTTAACATTATGAATTATTGGGGGGAAAATGGGAATCAAAATTGAGTAGGCACTTCAGGTCATGGAGTGTGTGTATGCGTACATGTGTCTGTTGCGTGTATTTTACGGAGAAAAGCCTGGAAGGGAATTTATGGTGGTTATGGAATTGGGTCTGACTTGCTTTATAAATTTCATGCTTTTCTTATAACTTATTTTAATAATGATATCACGGCTGTTATAAAAATACAAACTTAGGAGAGCAAGTTGTTGAAAGGTTTATTTTCTCACCCTGCCAAAATTAACAACTTTTTAAGAAAAAAATTACCTTCGTATTGTCTCATGTTTGGGTAAAGAAGGAGCTGGAAAGAAAGCCTTTCATTTTCTAATCACACTGCATTTATATTGGCTTCCTAGGGCTGCCTAACATAAGGCCACGGACTGGGTGACTTCAAGCAACAGGAATCTGTTCTCTCACAGTCCTCGGGGCCAGAATCCCCAAATCCCTCGGTCACCACGACCGCGCTCCTCCGACACCTGTGGGGGGGATCCTCCTTGCCTCTTCGGTTCAGTGGTTTGCCAGCATCTTTGACTTTCCTTGGTGTGCAGACATATCTTTCCAACCCTCTGTCTCCACATGGCATTCCCTGCCTGTCTTCACATCACCCTCCCTCTGGATTTCCCCTTTCTATAAGGACATGGTCATCTTGGGTTAGGGTCCACCCTAATGACCTGCTCTGAATCTGACCATCCACCCTGTCTGCCAATCAGGTCACATTGTGAGGTGCTAGGAGTTAGGGTTTCAACATCTTTCTTTGAGGGGGACACCCTTCAGCCCCAAACTGAATTTGTATATTTGGGAGGCATTTTTCCTGTGTTCATATACTAAGTTGATCTAATTAATTAATAAAGTGATCTTAGTGGCTACCCAGTATTCCACCACATGGTGTAACACCATGTATTTAATCATTCTTTCATTGCTGGGCATTTAGGTTATTCCAGTTTTCACTGTCAGAATCCATGTGATGACAGACAGCCCCTGTGAACATTTTTGTGCCTAAGAGGAAACTGGAATATCTATAGGACATTTCCCTAATAGTGGCCAAGCTAGAACACACCTTCGACATTTTT